CATCATCAACAATATCATCATAATCATCATCATCAGCATCATCATCAGTCTAATCATCATCAAGTGCCTGACTCAATGGCACGAGCAACCCTGCATCTTCCCAACCTGCAATCTCTAAAAGTATGTATCAGTCCGTGCGGCAATATTCTTCTATGACATAATAGGAAAAAAAAAATACTATGAATCACCCTACTTTGTCTTTTTCTATCTCTCTCCTGCTCCTGCCCCTCCTCCCCCCCCCCCCCCCCGAAAAAAAATTATATTTGTCAAATTATCCTGTTGCTCATATCTCATTGTGTAACTAAAATGACATGTCTGTCCTTATCTGATTTTTAATCATAAGTTGTTATCGGATCTCAGTAAATAATAATAATAACTTCCATCACCTTCAGTGTATTTTAAATTTAAACGCTAAATAATAATCATAAATCTTAAAGAGGTTACAATTTTGTGTACGTGTCTTGAAGCCTTGCTGAAGATAGCAATATGTGAGACATAGTCTAGCCTTAGAAGAAGAACAAAGTCTCACCAAATAGGCAACTGGATGGGAAACAAGTAGACTGAGGAAACAAGAACATCCACTACCCCCCCCCCCCTCCCCCTTGAGCCTCAAAATGAACGTTGACCAGAGAAGCCAACAACGCTGAACTGGATTCCATTCATGACATTAAACGGTTTGGGCAGGATAAAACGGAACGGAGGAATAGACTGCGGGCTCCAAGTGACATACAACGACACAACATGCTGGTGATAATCTTTTTCGTCGCGTTCACCAGCTGTAAACGCAGCTGGAAAGTTTTGGTTGTTCGTCCACTTGTTGACTCTAGTCCAGTACCAGAAACCGAGTGTTGTGTGCACATCTATTTTACAGATGTGACTCATTTATATGCAGACTGTTGGTTCCTTGCCTTTCATGCAGATGCACTCCGACTTTGAAGGAAGTTCCCAATTAGCAGCTCAGACATGGTTTTGGGAAACAGTGGGTCTAACCCCCCCCCCCCCTCCCCCCGCCCACCTTTATTTCCCTCAGAATATGGCCCAAAAACCGACACGGATGTCGACTTGCACCTGTCTACTACCTTGTCTTCGTGAAGTTAATATTTCCACCAAACTTACGGCATTTAAATCATTGGAAGAATTCCGCGTGCAGGGCCAAATGGGTTTAAAGTGTCAAAAAGTGCTTTCCTGGAAAGCATGATTTAAGTTGTACCATTGTATAAGCCATTAAAAAAATTGTGGACACATTCCGTTTTTGGGGACAGCTTTTACCGAGTTTGCTCTCTAGACAGTTAAAATCCTCAGCCGATAAGATTCTGTCTTCCCGAATAGTAGGCCGCAGCGATCAAAACATTTGAAAAGACAGCATGACCGAGGTTGCCAAATCTATCGGTCATTATTCAGCCCCGACATAGCACAACCAGAATACATGCTGCTCCCTCTAAAAAAACATAGTTTCCTGCGTTTGTCACACGCTAGAAATAGCAGTCCATGTCAAGGGAACTCTGTTCTGATGTACAACAGCGAATCTCAGTGAACAAATTATGAAGAGTTTGGAAGCAACAGAGATGTGTTTTCTGAGACGAATGTTACGAAAACTTGGACGGCCAGAGTAACAAACAACGATTGCCCGATATAAGCTAATAAAAGTAGATCTCTATATACAACAATAAGAAAGAAACAAACACTGTTCTTTGGCCACATGATGAGAAGAGAGACACTGGAGAACATCGTAACAACTGGAAAGGTCAGTGGAAAATGGGTAGAGGCAGACCAAACGAGACGATGCTGGATGGGCTGAAACGATGGCGTGGAGGGTTATCATCAACTGAGTTGTTTCAGACAACCAGGGATCGTGATCTGTGACAGGGCACATGATGATGATGATAAGGAAACAGAGCAATCTGAAAGAAATCACAGCCATCAAAATATAACACACCCGCTTGTCGCCATTTTGAAAACAAACTAGAAGTCTAGTCTATTTATATATAAATGTATCTTTAAAAAAAAAAATTATATGTCGACATATTAAATGGGATGTTTTAAAAACATTTTGTCCAAAATATAAATACCGCCTTGCATGTGCAAATATGTAGATATGTGTTCGTGCGTATGTGTGATTAAACAATGTAATAACGTTGACAAAATTCATGTCTGTATGTGAATTTATGTATTACTTTGTGTTTTTAATACAGGAATATGCCTTTCCTTCCATTCATTTCCATAGTGCAAATTTAACCCCCCCCCCCCCCCCCCAAAAAAAAAAAAAAAAAAAATTCAATAGCTACTGCGCCTCACATTTAAAGAGTAAACAGAGGAGCTATTATTCTGGTGAAAAAGTGCCGGCACTTACCACAACATTTCTAAAACGGTACTAGTACATGCTACAAAGGGGTTATTACAGTAGCGTTGAAAAAAAAAAACTGATGTCTAAACGAAAGGTACATTTACGACGTACCATTACCTGGCATTAACAATAATTTAACAACGTGGTTCCAGTTGTCCACTTTTGGGGGAAACAAGAATAGATCAACTGCCAACCCATTAAGCACACGACGAAGGATCTTTCTACTCAAACCTCTTTCTTCTGATGACAGTGGGCTCCTGCTGTGCATGCTTCCTTGTGGAGTTCTTCTTTTTTTCATAAGAGTTGACTAAGTGGAAGCCTGTTTCGAAGTCGGAGTACATCTGCTTAAGAGGCAAAGAACCAGCAGTTTGCGTACATATAATTAAGATCTGTTAAAATGGATATGCACGCAACAATCAAGTTCTGCACACACACACACACACACACACACACACACACAAAAAACAACGTCCGGAGGTCGCCGAACACACAGAACTTTCCGCTGAAGTTTACAACCGGTATATGCGAAGAAGAAGAGAAAGAAATATAAAGTTTATATATTAGTGGTTATTATTATTATTATTATTATCTAATTTACCCTCTTCCCATTACACAGTACAACAACATAGACACATACAAACATACATACTGTTTGGCTTTGGCAGTGTATGGGAATTTAACTTACGTCATGTGTAGTCTTTTTAGGCTAAGATTTTACCGGTGTCACGATGAAGGTTTTTTTTTTTTAGATTCGTTGACATGACGAACCAAAATGTAAATATTCTTATTAACTTTGGGAGAAATACTATTTTAAGAAAATTTTAAAACTCCGTCTTGTTTAGATGAGCTATACTATAATGTGAATTCCAAGTGAAATCCCACCAGGATATTTACCCTTGCAACTTATATGTAAACATTTGAAGGAGCCTATTTCCCAGATGACTGTGTGTGTTCCGACTCTGCTCCTTCGTTATTATGTAAATATAAAGTAACTTACTTGTCTAATAATTTTTGGGAAAAAAAACAGCATTTGTTTTTATTAGAAACGATATTTACAAATGATTGTGATAAATACAATCTAAACTAAGTTTTTTGTTTTCTCGTCTGGTTCGCAATTTGAATGTTGACATGTTATGTGGTTAAAACGAGGGCCAATCGCAAGCGCTGGACTACAGGGATGCCAATGCTGGGTTTTTTCCCCAAGATCTTGGTTTTTTAGTTGCCGTCTTGGTTTCTTGGTTTTTATTTTTAAAATTATTGAAAATCTTGGGTTTTCAGTCTTAATGATGAAAAAAAACTACAATTAATAAATATTATAACAAGAATAATGTGTGTACACATATCTATAATAGTTTTACCCGCAAATTATATTTTGAAATGTCCTACAAACACTTAAAACAAACTCAGTGTAATTAATGTAACAGAATACAAAGGTTAACTCCAGGGCTATTCAGGAAAAATGTAGCAGACCACCAAAGGACCAGATTTACGATCCCCGAGTAGTGTCCCTTAAGTAACAGATACTAGGGGCGGAGAAGCAAAATAGATGAAGCCTGGGACTTTTGATCGTAAACTTTACAGAAGAAAGAAGTGACCTGACATTTAATTATTGAAGAAAGTTTGGGAGGCTTTTCCTCTCTTCTAGGGGTAATTGACCTGACATTGTAGCGTCTCAGTGGTTGAATTGAAATAAAGCAGATTAGCAGAAACCAACTAAGGACTACTAGGGAGGACCTTTAGTTAAGTTTTCACTAGTTTCTTTTTTTTTTTTTTTCTGTGTTGTGGTTTGTTGAACTGTGCTATCAAAATTTACTCTGATTATAACCTTGTTGAATTCAAAATGAGTGAACAGATTACACCATCGAAGAAAAGAAAATGGTATGCTAGGTGTTTCAAAGAGAAATGGCAGTATTAGTACCAATTGAGAAGCATAAAAGATGGCCTAAAATTTAAAATATGATATTTTATCCGCTTTTATGACCAATCTCACTATTTTGCCTCACTCGTCAGCAACGGTTGAACGCATATTTTTCCTGATGATCTGTGTCAAAACTAAACAAACTAATTCTCTGAAAGCAGACACTGTAAAAGATCGAATTCTTGCAAGGCAAGCAACCACAAGAGGAAATGGCGACTGCACGACATGGACACCTAATAAAGAATTGCTAAAAGAATTGCAAAGTGGCGCAATTAGTCAAAGATATTTAAACAGTATAAAAAAAACAGAAAGAGACGGTGACAATTGAAATTGGTGAAGAAGGAGAGCTGTTAGAGTAACAGTTTAATAAAGGTGGGTATATGTTCAGTTTCACAACTATAAAATACTTTTTGCACAGTGCTGGGTTTTTTATTTTATTTTTTGTTCATATCTTGGGTTTTCGTCAGCCCGATCTGGGTTTTTGACAAAAATCTCATTGGCAGCCCTGCTGGACTATGTCAGCCATTACAACGGATGTCAAAGACTCAAAGGAGAAGGATAAGTTGGTGTTGTAGAATCGGCTGTCATCCTTCTAGGTCTTTGTGCTGAAATTGATACATTTTGGCGATTCTATAAGAAAATACTGTGTTTTAATAGTGATTGTGTTTATTTTGTTAAGATATTGCTTCTTGAATCCAGAATTGACCGACGAAATTTAGCTATTCTGATTTGTGAAAAATGGCTTGTGGGGCAACTCTGAAACGGACACTTGAATTCGATCCTCTGCATAGTCCTTCTCAAGCAAGCCCTATCAAAAGAAGGAGATGCATGCCGTTGACGATGTCGCAGGCTCCCCCACCTACAAAATTACACCATTTATCGCCTTCACCATTTGCTGCTGTAACGCCCAACATGACGAAAGGTATGTTGTCAGTTCTGTAGTGTATAATTACTATAATAATGATGTATTTTCCCCTGTCGGTGACAAAGAACCAATGCGTTTTTAGTGTACTATAAGTCACTACTAAACTACTCTCTGATATTTTATTTAGTTTTAGTCCAGGTGATATTATCAACTATTAAGTTAAAACTGCAACTAAAATTCAGTTTTTGGCAGTCAAGTAGTATATAATCCATCTTAGTAAAATCGAATTCACATTTACTCAGTAGTACCATTTATGTCATTCATTAATTAAAATTATAACCCGAATCACCAGATTGCAGTCTGTCATGTTTCTTTCTCCACTACCCCTTATTCTCAATAGATGGTATCATGGTGCTTAGCTAGACTAGACCACACTAGTCGCTGAGTCAGCGGTGTTTGATGTCAATACAATAGTACTCCAGCCGCCTTTACTTCCCTTTCCTTTACTTCATTATCTTGTACCCATTTAAAAAATAATGTTAGACTGCACCAACCTCTTAGATCTAGATAGCATTTTGTACCTATGAAAGATCTTAAGGCTAGCTGGAAACTTGTCTCGACAACTGTTTTTTTCCCACTCACTTTCTAGGAGTCAGTGATAATAATAATACTAAATGCAGTAAGTACAACACAAGCTACACAACTAGCAAAAGGCAGAAAAATACATCTAACTCCTCTGGGACCCATTATGGCATCAGCAGTAGGTAGCCAGTAGTACAGAAGAAAATAACATTGATTACTTTTAATTTGCATTTGAAGTTCCACTGTTACCAAAGTTTACTTTTGCCCAGGTGATTTTTGTCTCTCTAACCACCGCCTCTATGACAGGCACCCTAATTCAAAATGAAAATCAGGGTGCATCTGCCTGAGGGGTTAAAACCCAACAATCTGCACATTAATAATCAAAATGGATGAGCATGCAAAACTTTTTTGGAACAAGACTTTCTTACTTTCTAGATGTGGATGAACAACATTTTCCACTGGAGCTTACAGCTGTTGAACATTTAGATGAGGAAAAAAGTTTTGCTGAATATTTTCAGATGAAGTGTTGCAAAACTTGGGGTGAATAAATAACCAGATTGTGAACTCCATTATGTTCCTGATTAGTTGTGAATAGTATTTTGTGTCCTCTTTTGTACTCACATTTATGTTATGAATATTACATTTTGTAATCAGGGATCGCACAAAGGGAAATCTAAAACTTGACCTGGACACATTTATTCATTATGCCAGTTAGGTTAGTTGCGTATCCTTTACAGGACGTTGCAGAACCAACCCCAACAGCTCCTGGCTGTTGTGTGGTTTTTCTAGACAAATTTACGTCTAGTAGTTTGCCATTTCTTTCTGGACAGTCGGCTTTCTTGATACCACTGTCGAAACCAACGCAAGGCGCATGGCCTGTAGCTGGGATCGAACCTGGCATTACGAAGAAGCGTTTGCATCGACTTAGCCACAGAGCTGACATGTATGCCAGTATATAGTAAATATTAGGCAGCTGTCATATTTTAAATCAGTTTAAACACATTAGACTCATACTTACTTAGTTAGTCACTCCTCTTCTACCTTGGGATGTAGAGGTTTGCCAGAAAGATCGGCTGTTTTCTTTGTGGCTTTGTTCCATTCCGGTCCTCTTCAGTCAGGGACTGTTGGATGTTGTCTTTCCATCGGACCCTGGGTCGCCCTAGCCTAGAGGTCTGGGTCCCTGGTTCTTAGCATCCTATGCTTGCCACAGTGGGAGTTTACATTAGTCTGCGTCCCCCATGGGTTCTGGGGCCACATTGTGGGGAAAACAAGAATAGATCCACTGCCTCCCCAAAAGCATGTCGTAAGAGTCGACTAATTGGGGAGCTTCTTTTGAAGTTGGAGTGCATCTGCCGGAGAGGCAAAGAACCAACAGTCTGTATTCAATGAATGAGATCTGTAAAACTGATGCACACGCAGCACTCAGGTTCTGGAACAGGACTGCAGTTCAGTAGTGGACGAGCAACCAGAACTTTCCCGCCAGAGTGTACAGCTGGTGAACGCGAAGAAGAAGAAAACTAACCAATCCACTCTAGTTTGTAAGGCCTGCGTTTTAAGATCTTGGCGTATTTTCTGATGGTGAACAGTCGCTACATTAGACTCGATCATCTTTATGTCAAGTTGCAGTAAGGTTAAATATGGCACAATTTTTATTTATATATCTCAAATACGTTTTCATTGTCATTATTATTACAAATTGTGTTTACCATTTTTAAAGTTACGGCAGTGTAGAATAAGGGACCTTGAACCTGAGCATTAAGGGCTGTTCTGCTGGTACAGGCACCATGAACTTTTGGTTATTCTTGTTGTGAGAAGTCTTCACCACTTTATAGAGGATTTGAACTCTGATTTTAACCTTTTGGCCTGACAATCCCCTTCAGTTATGTTATACTGACATTTTTAAGAAAAAAAAATTACTCAGTAGTAGATCCTGTGATCTACCAATGTTATTAACATACTTTAATTTGTTTTAACAGAAGAAATTGCTGCCAGAATTGGATCTGAGCTGAAGAGAATGCAGAAAAGAAAACAGCTATATTATCCAACTTCTCACAGTCCACCGCTGTCTACATGCTCTTCACTTGGTCGCCAGAGCCCACCTGTGTCTCTAGAAGCATTGACTTCAGCAGCAGCTAGTTCTAGAGACTTCCCGTCTTTACCATCACATTCGACTTCAGAGACTGCGTCAGCTAGGCAAAAGGAAGTTCCTCTGTTTACTTTCAGACAAGTTTCTATGATATGTGAGCGCTTAGTGAAAGAACATGAAGAGAACCTCAGGGAAAATTATGATACAGTACTTAATAACAAACTCTCAGGTAAGTACCATTTTTAAACAATAGCTGACTTTGAAACACTTTATCTATTGGACACAGTATGTTCTATTGTCTGACCATGATGCCATCTGTATTTTGTTTAAATTGCCTACTACATATAATTGAAATAGCACTTTGTGCAGGCCTGTGGGTGTTCTGTCTTCCACAGTAAATATTTAAAGGGTGAAGATCATAATTGTTTTAGAAATATCCACCCCCCGTGTGGGTTCCATGGCCCAACTGTGGGGGGAAACAAAGAATAGTCCCACTGCCTGCCCAGAAGCATGCCCTAAGAGTTGACTAATTGGGAGCTTCCTTTAAAGTTGGAGTACATCTCCCTGAGAGTCAAGGAACCAAGTCTGAATGCAGATAAATCAGACCTGGGAAATAGATATACAGGCAGCACAGTATCTGGAACAGGATTACAGTCCAGAAGTGGACCAACAACCAGAACTTTTCATCTGAGTTTACAACCGGTAAATGCCAATAAGAAAAAGTAATACACTAGTTGCACATAAAATTTTACCTTATGGTTCTACAGGCTCCATTTTTGGGAAGGGGGGTGTGGAGAGAATCACGTTTTCTTATCAGTGTTAGTGTGCATGTGCCTAAGAGGTTAGGAACCAACAGTCTGCATACAAATAGACTAGATGTGTAAAATGGATGTGAACATAAAACTGAAGTTCTGGAACAAGCCCTTATTGTCCAGAGGTGGGTGGCAGCCACAGCTTTGACAGGTTGTGCTGTGTCATAGCCAGCAGTTAGTTGTAGTCTTTATCTTGTCTGTGGTGTTTTCCACCCATACATTCACTTCAGACTGATAGATATTGTTGCTGTCTTTGGATCAAGTGAATCTTTGCACACACACACACAAAGAGCGCTTTGACATCCACTCATATGAAAACAGTTTTTGAATAATATCAGGGTAGAGTGGGTGTTAGTTTTGTCAGAATCTATGCTTCATCTTGTCTGAAAAATTTATTTTTTGAGAATATCGTTGTTCTTTTAATTCTAGATGATATTTGTGTGTGTGGGGGGGGGGGGGGGGGTGTAACGTAATAAAACTCCTAAACATCTATTAAAGATGTGATCATCACTGGTTTAGTGTAGGCAGTCATTCACAATGGATTGTTAAGTCATTTCTCTTTGTTTCTACATTGTTGTCATTGTAAAGAGTACGGCAATGCATTTTTTAAACATCCATTGCTCAGTGTGTTCAGTGTTAGCAAACACTCATCTGGCTACAGTAATCTTCAGTCCCAAGTCTTCCTGATTAATCTGTTGTAAAGACTAACATAGATGTTCATTACACTGTTTATCATAGCTTTTAGTATTTTGAGAACCCATACCCCCCTCTTCTATTGTATGCTGGACTGTTGAAATAAATGACTGAAACACAATGTATTAACCCTCAAACAGTGATTTCTGTGTTTGTATTCATCCATATTTGCAAGCTTTTTCTTTTTCAGCATTCCGAACCCCTGGGGTTCATTGCTGCAGATATAACCTGCCTCCACTCATCTCTCTTGTTGGCCTTTTCTTTTCAGTTGGTTGCACCAAGTGTTTGCAGGGCTGTCAGGACATAATCTCTTTATTGTCTTCTGGGTCTGCCTTGTAGTCTACATCGACGACCTTTGCGGTCCCTTGTGTGTAGTTTTTTTTTTTTTAAATTACCTTTGTTATATGACATTCTCTCAATATGCCCCAGCCATTTCAGTCTATTAGATCTCTTGGTGCCAGTGATCCATGGTTTTTTTAAACAGATTATGAATTTTCTTGTTGCAATCTGTAAGCTGCTGGGGATTACCTCTGAGTTCAGGGTCCCCATTCTACTGGACAAGACAATTGATCCCACCCCCCTCAAAAAACATTGTCAAAGGCATGGAGTGAAGAGGTGTTTGCTTCATAGTCAGTGTGCCTCTGCTTGAGAGACAATGAACTTTGAAATCTGTATATTGTCCATGTTCACTTCTGCACAAATCCATACAAATTAATGTAGGGAAAATTTTCTACTGTAAAACTGAAAGGGTTGTCATGAGACGTTGTTTTGTGTGTTTTTGAATATACCACAGATGTACAATAACAAACCATAGGTCGGACATGATTGTGAAAGGCTCCTTATCATGAGATTTCACATGCCAGTGCAAAATGTTATCAATTGCAGTCAATTGGTTGTTGAGGTGTAGCATTTTCTTTTTAAAACAGTGACATTATGTAATAGTTGTAAATGTGATAATTTTTTTGGGTGCCATTATGTCACATTGGGCACACAGTCTGTTCTTGCATTCCATTCAGTCATGTGCATTCACTTCAGTATTATATACGGTATCTAGTCCAGCACATATATATGGTTTTTCTTATCAGTGTTCGTTTTAGGATTTTCTGTTGGGTATTTTTGATACAATGTCTGAACCGCAAGGAAAACAAAGCTTCTAAGGATTAAGTTGATCTTTACGGTTTCGCATAGTAACTGATGTTTTCATTGTTCTTGAAATGTTAGCAAATAAAAATAAATGGCATCATTATTTCTTTTGTTTACAGAGCAATATGAGGCATTCCTCAAGTTTAATCATGATCAGCTGCAAAAACGCTTTGGGAATGCACCAATGAGCTGTAAGTTGTCATGTTTCCGAATGCTTTAAAAATACAGGGATGTTTACATAGAGCTTAGAAATGAATAAAGATTCAACACTTAACTTTTACACATTCTGTATGTTCAGAATGTTTTCCCTTAGTGCATTCAAATAACGTGGGTGCAACAAATTTCATAGTTTATTTTCTGCTATATTTTTTAAAATATGACCATGTGATTTGTGTACTTCTTTGGGAATAATTAATTTTTGGGTGCTTTATCATTATATGTTGACATAATAACTGTTAAATAGATACAACAAAATAATCCTGACAGTAAATTGTGCAGTGTATTGTTTGACTATACTGTTTATATTGCATGTCTCACTCCCTGTCGCCTGTCTGCCCATTCTAAATAAATAACTTTGTGATAGTCAGAACAAGTAACAGGTTTCTCCTGTTTTGGATGTGTACTAACATGATGACAAAGTCAATAAGAAGTCAACAAGCAAAAGAATTGGTCGAAGGAAAAATTAGCAGTACGAGAAAAAAATATTAATTTATGGTCGGATAAACATTAACATTGAGAAATGTCAAAAGCATAAACTAAGTTCCCACTACTGTATGACACACAATATGTGAAACTGAACAGTTAATAGGTCAATTGAGAAATGTGGGCATACAGAAGACTATGTAATTTTTTAGGGAAAGAGAAACATATACTGTAGTTTGAGAGAGACTGCAAAAAAAAAAAAAAGTTAAAATACATTGTAAAAAGAAATAAATAATCTATTTCAGTTACTTTTAAAAGGCTGTAGTTGTATATAGGAAATTAAACACATAAATAAAAAAAACTTATGCTGCAGATATAGATAATTTATTTCAAGCTAACAAAAGAGTAAGAGAACTTTTTCTTTACTCTGTAGAAATATATATCTACACTTTCCTGATTTTTATGGTTGCTTTTTGTTGTTGACATTGAAGCCTCTTTTATCATGGCATTTAATGTAGCAGCTTAGATGCAGTATAACTAAACTTGTTTATTAGACAGGTTTCACCAACACTGAAAAACAAGTCTGCTGCTGGAAGACTTTTCCAGGCCGTAAACTGAGGGTATCTTTGCAAAAGAGAAATTCACAAGAGGACGAGAATGGCTATTGCCCTACCTATTATGTGCCAGTCCTGATCTACACCTGTGAGTTGTGGTCGATAACAACAGCTCAGAAAAGCCAGTTTCTGGCCTCAGTGATGAAAAGGGACAAAGTTCGCAATTAGACTATACAAGATCTTGAAACCTAGGCTTTACAGACTCAGATAGATCGATGAGTCACATTTACAATTGTTTTAACATACACAGAAATTAGGAGCGAATTGGCCACCATGGGAGGCAGGGAATCAGGGAGACACAAGATCCGCTAGGAAGACAACATCCGACAGTATCTGACAGGCAACTGGAATGGAACAAAGCCAAAAAGAAAGCTGCAGATAGAGCAGTCTGGCAAACCTCTAAACCCAATTTCAGAAGAGGATTGACTTAGACTAAGATTCCCTAGACAATGAACACATAAAGGGAAAAAAGATTAAATTAAAAAGAAGAATGTAGCTAGTGGTAGTAACCTGTTTCTTCAAGAGATGCCATGTAACTTAGCTGACGACAGGCAGTATATAAGCAGTAAGTAATATATAAACTAAATGGACATTGGCTGTCTTCAGAGAACTTAATGGGGGCTGACAATTGTTGTAACTAGAGCAAAGAAGATGCATATACGTTGATGGCTTGACCACATGATTGAGGGGAGTGTGTTTAAAGTAATAAAAATATATTATTGACTTTATTCTGGAGATCATGTGGGATGAGAAATTACCAACTACTCTTACCGGCATAGCACAAGATGTTATACTGGAATAGCCCCAGTCACAAAGATTTGTATTGGTATTTATGTTTAGTGTTATGTTTGAGATTTATAAATCTGTTTCTTTTTCATTTCAGATGTATCCTAATCAGGGAGTCGTAAGGACACAAGGGAATATGAATGAGATTTTCTTTGTTGGGCACTTGATCTGGATAATGACCTCTGTATTTCTGTTGGCAGACTGATTAGCACTTTTACCTTCAAGGGCAGTCTTCCCTTCTATCCATTGCTTTGAAGTTATTTTATTAGTTACTTCATTTGTTACTAATTTTGTTTTCGGTCTACATTATTTCTCTACTTAATTAATGTATTGAATGAAACTGAAGTGTCGGTACAATTACCATCACATTGCCTTTGTTTACCACTTGTAAGGGCTTTGTGGGACAGGGAACTTGAGTCTATAGTAGTGCAACAACCACAGATTGCAGGCTAAGATTGTAAATATATTTTTCCCAGATGGAAAAAAAAATTTCAATACTTTGACTATGATTGTGAGACTCCTGCATGGAGCTCAGCATTCTTTTGTGCCATGAATATTTAAGCCATCTTCTTAAAGTCCACATATTATGTGGCGTTAGCAGTCATGTCTATCCATAACCTTCTGTCTTATATGTGATAACGGACTTCATCATCTTCCCTCTCGGCCTCTGTCTGCCTCTTTTTCCCTTTCAGCTATACATACAGTTTATTCAGAAGACTACTGTGTGCGGTAGTGGTGTTCATATTGCAGTGTGTAGTGGTTATAACAGGTATGGCTTCTGGCTTAGAGGCTAGTTAATTAGTTTAATTTTATTATTTTTAAGTACTTAGGCTTGATTTTTGCCTTGGACAGTTTACTTAAAATTCTCATGGTATCGGGCAGTACAAGAGTCACACCTCAGAAGAAATTGGGATGTCGTTGCGTAATAATTAATTCCAAAAACTGCAGCTGAGGCACCGTAGCCAACCTTGATTGTGGGGACTGCAGACAACATATTGTAGTGATGGAGTTTGATTATTTTATAGGGCTGTACATTTTTGTGCCAGGGACCAGAGTAGTTTACTATCACAAAGCAGTAGAACAGATCATCTATTGCTCTCATGATGTACGATTAGATACCGAAGCTTTGTTTTTGTGTGTGTGGCTATGTTTAATACAGCCCTTGTATGGACACTCTTATCTTAGAATTTTTGTCCTTTTGAAGATTTCCTGTTTTTACTTGGGGATTTAGTCTGATCAGGTGATATTTTTGTTATATTATTAACGAGCGTGTTAGTTTTCATAGTCTTGACATATCTTTGTTAATTATTTTGAAAGCTAAATTTTGGGTTATGTAAAAAGTATGATCTTCAGAGATTTAAAGAAAACAAAAATATTTGTTTTTGCATTGTTTTGGATATGTTGAATGAAAAGTTAAAGAAGAGTTAGCAACCATATAGTCAGTAAAAGTAAAACTTTTTTTAACTCCCTTCCCCCCTCCCCCCCAAATTATGTTGATAATATTGTGGCAATTCACCCATCCTTTCATTTGAAAGGTAACTCAATTTATTCAACATATATGCCATAAGTACGTGAGCCGCATTATCAGGAAATATTTATAGTAACCATGTAAATCCTTTTTCTGTAATGCATCTGCTATTTCTAAACATTCTCTGTGACTAAAAAAAATGTCATTTGTTGGGTTGAGAAAACTAGTAAATCCCGTGTGTAGAGCAAAACTACTAGAAAGTTAATTTTCATGTTTCTCTCATTAGATCAGTCAGTGGGCATGATTTTTTTTTAACTTTCTTGTATGGTAACAGATTTTCTATGTCATGGCGACTGTTCTGAGCGAAGGGGCTTTTAATTCTCGGCCCTTATAAAAATCCTACTGGCTACATCAGCAGTGGTACATTTTTATATATTTTATTTTGGATTTAATTCTGTAAAAAAAGGTTATAACTTGGTAATGGGCCAGAAGACATGTAAGTAAAAACTAAGGAGAGACCATTGTTGTATTTCTTCTTTCAACCATGGATGTTTTGTGTGTGTGTGTTTGTGTGGTGATTACTCAGTTTATTAAGTTCATGATCCTTTGATTAATTTATCATAGGTGATGGTTGATTTGCATGTATGAACATTATACAGACTACAAATTTCTTTATCCGGCTTAAAATCGTGACCAATGACAGTTCAAGATGTGTACATTTGTGTATATTTTTGTGAATATTGTCTGTGTAATATACTATGTTTATTTCCATTATCTCTGTTTGTTTTAACAATGCCAATTATTCTTTTAAACTTGCACTGTTTGATACATGATTGTTTTGAGAATTTTTGAAGTGTGATTATGTGAAAATGATGTGAATGAGAAGATACTTGCAAAATACATGAAAAATATGTATTGTAGCACTGCCTTCTTCGTTTTTTTTATTGAAAAAGATTTTCAACATAAACTGAAGTAATTTTTATCTGTCTTTGTCTGTACTCCTGGGGTGCTTTGCAGTGTCACATTAAAAAAAAGTTATAGAATATAAGTATACTGCAGACTGGATACTATCTTAGAGTGGCAAGCGATACGGTGCATAGGCAATTGGACACAATGAAGATACGGACTAAAGAGGCAGATCAGCTGAGGCTGAAAAAAACACACACTTAACATGGTCCTCAACTTTGAAGAAATTGGCAGAATAGAAGAATGGGTAAAAGTACCTGAGGGCAAAGAGTGGTAATTACCTTGGGATGTGAGATGCAGAGGTTCAACAACTGATAGAAGATAACTCTAGGTCAAATGATGTAATTATATACACTAATGGGTCAGGAAAAGTGGATGGGGCTCCATTGCAGAAGCATGTGAAAAGGGGAAGGGGGGCGAGTATTATAACTGAAGAGAGCTTAGCGACATCAAACCACATCCAGCATGAGAATAGAGATTAAAGTGGTAGCTGTTGCATTCTGATAGGTGGAAGAAAATCTCTGCTATAGTGTCAGATTCGCAAAGCATGCTCTGGAAGATGGATTTAGGTTTTCTTCATATGGAATTAATTACATCATCCAGAGGTTGCAGGTGGTGAGAGTCAGATTTTTTTGCCCTGGCCTTTCAGGTGTGTTTGGGAATGAGCAGGCAGATAGGCTGGCTGGAATGGCCCCATTTGGGCATGTACTGCAAAAAGCAGAGGTGATCTCATGCCTGATGGACAGGTATAGGTTAAATGAAAGATATTGGAAATCCTTATCTGGAGATAATGATAACAGCAAGTGGCTCTGGGCGCCACTCGAGACACACAGGGATGAAAACTGGTACCATCTGTATGGAAGCTCTTCGCTATCTGTTGAAGAGGAAGACAAAGCTAGTATGGGATTATTTTGAATGCTGAGATGTCAAATCTTTACCCAGATGAGGACATAAGTATATATCTGTCTAGCACTTGCCCTTTTGTTTACTTCCTGTAAGTACTTATCAATGTCTCCAGTATTTCCATTGTCCATATTTTGCATGGTCGACCTCTGGTTGAGATTTATCTCCTGTGTCGAGACATCTATAAAAATACTGATAGTAATGGAAGAAGATTCTTGACATCTTTTTGCCCTAGAGTAGAATGGTGTCAGTGCACGGACTGATAGATGTTGATAATCACAAGTTGTGGAAAGGCATGATCACCCACATTTGTCTGCAAGGCACTTGATAATGATCTCTGTATGAAGGAATTAACAAAACTGGTACTGATTTCCCTTGGTCACACACATGGACTCAACCTCCATGGGTAGTAAGATCCCAGGTTATAGTGAAATTTAGGCTGCCTGGCTTGGATTTTCTGAAAACCGCCTCCTCTACAGATTATAGTAACACTAAATTTACAGAAAGGGAGAAAGGAATAGTAATAGTTAACAGTTGTCATCCTCACCGTGTTTATCATTTTGTAGAACTAATTTGTACTCAAAGATGCTAGAGAAAAGCTGTCAATTTACCAGACAGTGAGAAATCCTAGGTGGAACAGATTATAGGAACACCTTGTGCATTTAAAAACAAACTGCATAGGCATCAAGAAAATCCAGACTGGCTTCCTTGGTCAAGAATAGACTTTCTCATTAAATACATCATGGATGTCTCTTAACAGTTATTTTTATGGCGGAGAATGCTGGTGTTCAATGCATTGAGTATGCAGATTATCTGACAGACAAGGTGGTTACCATGACCAGTCCGGCACTGGACAAGAGTGTTGACATGTAGTGCCATGCAAGCTGCATATCACAAAGATCACAACAGCACATAGTATCTTTGTCCAGGTTGGTGGAGATAAGGGAGCAGCTAGACATAAACAAGGTGTTTGGTTAATCAGTGCAGAAGGGGCTGGTCCATTTGTTTTTTCTTGTGCTACTGAGCAGGAGATCAGATCACCTATGGAACTGTCAGGGTGGCTGTGATGATATTCCTCTAATCATCATACCTAAGAAACTTATATGCAGAGGGAAAAAGGGGTGCCAAAGAGAGGAGGGATAATGACAGTAGAGATATGTGTACACTCACAAGAATAACTAGCGTCATTAACATCAAGCACCAGGCCAATTACTATTGCTGCTCACACTATGTGGCATGTGTAGGAAAAGTTTATGATTGGTACTTGGCCCAGTTTCCCTTGCCTTTGTTTAAAAAAAATGTAACATAAACCTGTGGGAATTCCTTGAAAACGAATCCTCGAAAACATTTTCACTTAGGTCACCAGTTAATTTTTAATAAATGTATCTTATTAGTATGTTTCTTTTTATAATATATAGTAAAAGTAAAAACCTCTTTTCACACCTTTAGACGCATCAAGCATCCATATTTTTAAAGACCAATCAGCACTAGGTGGGTAATGCGGTCAGCATTACGCCGGCCGTCTTTAATTTCCCAGGACATACATCCTGGTAAACATTTTAGGCTAGCCGACCTGCGACGCGCCGTACCTTGATACAAATCCATACAGTAATCAGTGGGTTTTGATCGTGAAATGTTAGAATTATGAGTAGGACTCACAACACCTAAGCCACGGACACCGTTTTAAAAATATATAAAAACAAAAATGTAAGTTACCTCTATCACTGAGGCTTGTGAGAAAATTTGACAAGTGTCTTTGAAAAAAATATTG